GAGACACGGGGCCAGAGGTTGAGCTGATGTGCAGCGTACCGGACCGCAAACGGCCACAAAAAATGGGGAGCAACCGCATGGATCATGGAGGTACGAGCGACCTCCATGACTAAGCCAATGCGGCGCTCAGCAATCCCATTTTGCTGAGGGGAGTCCAAAAGCGAGAATGACTGGAGAATGATCTCCCCACGACAAAAGTCTAGCAAGAGGTCGGAGGAGAACTCACCACCTCTATCAGAGTGTAGACGCAGGACAAGAAGGTTCTGGTGGAACCGCTCGCGGAGCTGGAGACGGACTACGCGGATCCAAGGGATCAAGACATCAGGGACCTCACCCTTGCTGCGCAAGGGGAAGACTGTTGTGTACCGCGTGTATTCATCAACAACCAGCAGAAAGTAGCGCTCGCGGCCCTGTCCACTGACGCGGGCTGGGCCCCACACGTCCATGTGGAGAGTCTGCAGGGGAGCAATCGTCTGGGGAAACGAGGAGTGAGGAGCGGCGCGCTGCTGCCCCTGGACACAAGGAAGGCAGGGCGGGGCAGGCGAGGGCGGGAAGGGAGGCAGAGACCTGGGGAAACCAGAGACAAGGAGGCGGGAGTGCATGCCACGAAGGCGTGGCAGGGAGGGGTGACCAAGGCGGTGGTGCCACAGGAGAGTCTGGTGCGACAGGAGGCGACACGAGCAAGGGGGTGCTACCTGACCTGACGCGGACACCTGAGCAAACGCAGCTACCTGAGGAGGCTCAGTAGCCAGTGTGTACAGACTCGACCCAAGCCAACGAGTGAACGTGGCCAGGTGGCGGCCCATCCGTGTACACGTGCAGATCGACACACGCTGACCCCCGGGAGTGGTGGTAGTGACCATCGCGTCCTGGAGGGCAGCGGTACTCACCAGGTTTGTAGAGAACGAGGGGAGGTGAAGACCTGACAGTGAGCCGGACGGAACCGCCGGACACGCGAGAACAGTGGAGGAATGGGCAAGGACTGGGCCCCCGGAGGGGTCAGCCAGTCTGACCGGTACAGGTGCAGAGAGAGGAGTGAGGGTGGTGCTGTCGCGAAAGAAACAGCGTGAAGCACCTGAGTCAAGTGTAAAGGTGTGCAAGGCCTCAGCAGGCGCAGTACCAGGGAGAGCAGACTCACTAGCACCTAGAGCAGCAGCCTCTATACCTAGGTCAGGCGGCACACACAGGTAACAGTCACCCTCAGCACTAAAAGACAAAGCATACATACCAGCTAGAATAGCATCATAGTTAGGTCAAAGATAGCAACTCCATACCTGAGCAGCTCTGCCCAGCGGGGGCGCTCGGCCTCGTCACCAAAATCTGCGCGCCAAGCGTCGTCGAGGCGGGAGAAGCAGCAGTGCTGAGTGTGAGGCTTCCCGCATGTCTGACCAGCACGGTCACCCATGCGAATGACATACGGGCAGCTACCACTACCCCCAGACGCGCCACGCTGAGAAAACCACTCACGAAGCTGCTGGGGCGACGGGGTCTCGCTCCGACGCTGCTGCTGCTGCCTCTGGCCACCGCTAGAACCTCCACGCTGAGTAGCTCCAGTCCGACTGCCACCACTCCCACTGCCGCCACCCCCATCGCTGCCACCACCGCCTCCACCAAAGTCCCCACTCCCGCCACCACTCCCACTACCGCCACCACCTCCACTACCTCCACCACCTCCACTGCTGCCCCCACCACCACCCCTGCTGCCACCGCCCCCACCCCTGCCACCCTTGCCCTTGCTGCTGCGGCGCTTTGCACTAGCAGAAGCATCCCCGACGTCCTCAGCACTAGGGATATCAATAGCAGCAGCAGCAGCAGAGGCGTAGGAGGGTGCAAGGGGGGAGGGGGAGCACCCCTCAAAGAAGGGCGTGTGCGGAGTGCCACGAGCAACACCTACAGCGACTACACTTGTCTCACCTGCAAGGAGGTGCTGCTCGAGTAGGTCAACAGTGAGGACTGTGGGGTCAAGTGAGAGAAAGTGGTCCCTGACAGCCCGAAGAGAGTCAGGGAGGCGGGTCACTATAAAGTAGAGAGTGATGAACATCGGGGGCTGGTTCCTGACAAGGAACTCACCTGGGTCGGCAACGCGGTAGCGAGCGTCGCTAGTGCGAAGGTGGCAAAACAGGTCCTCTACTTTGGCAAAGGCGGACACCTCGGGGAACAGATAGGGCAGTAGAAGATGGCCTAGAACAGCAGTGGCAGGCGAGGAGTAACGGGCGACTACAGCGTCGTACAGTGCCTGTGATGTCCTGTGTTGTCCGAAGTGAGCGCATTCGGCTAACGGCAGGTGGTTGCGAACGGCTAAGCGAGCGGCAGCGACACGAGTAAGCCACTGTGAGCGAGTCGCACTGTCTGCTATGGCGGGAGGGGCAGGAGCGGCGCCAGACGTGTGGTCAAACAACGAAACGCTGTCCCTAGAGTCACTCAGTAGGTATAGCTGCAGGTCGTCGAGCCACGTGTCAAACTGGATTGGTCGGCCCTCACGATTGAACGCGAGAACGCGGAGAGAATCCATAGCGGCGCAGCACGCAGGGCGGGCAGAGGCCGGGCAGCGCAGGGAACAGAGGCAGGCAGCAGAAAGGGGGCGGCAAGCAGGCAGTAAGAGGCGGTGTGCAGGCTGCAAGAGGGGCGGCTCGAGGGCCTAGGGGCAGCAGGCTGGCCTAGGGGCGGCGGGCGGGTCGCAAGGGGTGGCACGGGCTGCAGGGGCTGCGAGAGGGCCGCAAGGGGCGGCTAGGGGGGGGCACCAGGGGCGACGCGCGGGGCTGCAAGGGCGGCTCGCGGGCTGCAGGGGCGAGGGGCGGGCCGCAAGGGGCGACGCGGGGGGCGGGGGCTGAGGTCGACAGGTGAGCTGGGGCCTAGGGGCGATGGGCGGGCCGGGCTAGGGTCGACGAAGGGGGGCGCGCGGGGCAGCAGGGGCGACGGGCGGGCATGGGCCTAGGGTCGACGAGCGGGCCGGGGCCTAGGGGCAACGGGCGGGCCAGGGTCTAGGGACGACAGGCGGGCCGAGCCTAGGGTCGACGGGCGGGCGCGCGGAGCAGCAGGGTCGCCGGGGGGGGGGGCGAGGCCTAGGGTCGACGGGGCGCGCCAGGGGCCTAGGGTTGACTGGCGGGCGCGCGGGGCAGCAGGGTCGACGGCCGGGGTCGGGGCCTAGGGTCGACGGGGCGCGCGGGGCAGCAGGGTCGACGGGCGGGGCCGGGGCTTAGGGTCGACGGGGCGCGCCGAGGCCTAGGGTCGACGGGGCGGGCCGGGGCCTAGGTTCGACTGGGCGGGCTGGGGCCTAGGGTCGACGGGGCGCGCCGGGGCCTAGGGTCGACGGGCGGGCCAGGGGCCTAGGGTCGACGGGGCGCGCGGGGCCTAGGGTCGACGGGGCCGGGGCCTAGGGTCGACGAGGTTCGCCTGGGCCTAGGGTCGACGGGGCGGGCCGGGGCCTAGGTGCGACGGGGCGGGCCGGGGCCTAGGGTCGACGAGGCGCGCCGGGGCCTAGGGTCGACGGGCGGGCCAGGGGCCTAGGGTCGACGGGGCGCGCGGGGCCTAGGGTCGACGGGGCGCGCGGGGCCTAGGGTCAACGGGGCGCGCTGGGCCTAGGGTCGACGGGCGGGCCTCAAGGGGCGGGCGCGCGGGGCCTAGGGTCGACGGGCGGGCCACACGAGGGTGGCACGCTGAGCAGCAGGTGCGGCACGAGGGTCGCTAGGGGCGGCGCGTGAGCCAGCAGGGCGGCTAGTGGGGCAGCGATGTGGTGGGCCCAACAAAAACGGTCCTAGCGAAGGACCTGCTTTGAAACCATGTCAAACTAACGAACAAGAATGAATGCATTGAGCAGAAGTTGGGTACAAGTACTAACCCTAATTGGGTTGTACCCCTTATGGGCTACCCTACTATAGCCTACACAAATGAAAGCGACATTCTGACAAGATCTACGCAGGAGCCATGGCTGCACAGGAGTTACGCTGGCTCACCTACGTGCTGACCGACTTGGGAGAGCGGCCTCGTTCTTCTCCTATTGTGTACGTAGACAACAAGGCCATGATTGCCTTGTGTCAGGAGCACAGACTGGAGCACAGAACGAATCGCTCTGCGTTACTTCCTTGCTCGAGCTCTGCAGCAGCGTGGTCAGCTTCGTCTTGCTTACGTGGCCACTCGGGCCAACACTGCTGATATATTCACGAAGGCACTTCAGTCTGGTGATCATCAGCGTTTCTAAACTGTTTTAGGCATTGGGCATACTTTGCCTCACTTGCTCACTGCGTGACTTTGGTCGTACTGTTATCTATATATATACCTGCATGCTTACACTTGTTAGGGTATGATCACTGTACTGTTTGTTCTCTTATATATAACTGTGCATGTGAACTGGCCTTGTGGTCATTTGCTTGTGCTCAGAATGTGTGGTGACTTCGTGATCCACCCTGAGCTTGCTTTGCTTTTTGTTGACTTGTCTTGTGACCACTTGTTTTCCCCCACTTTGCCTATGGGGGTGTGCCAAAATGTTTTAGTGCTTACATTTGTGTAGGCTGTAGTGGGGTAGTTCATAAAGGGTACAACCCAATTAGGGTTAGAACTTGTACCCAACTTTATGCTCAATGCCTTCATTCTCGTTCACTATTTTGACATATACTTCTGAGCAGCCCAGATGAATACGATATATGTGGGCAGTTACGACTGTCAATGCTTGTATGCACTTCTATAGTGTAACTTGCATTATAAAAAAAAACGATATATGTGGGCAGTGGTATATTTCCATAAATAATTGTAGATTAGTACGAAGGGGTAGATAAACAGCCAAACGCTGTTACCAAAACTACCAAGTTACAAAGTTCGGGCAACAACGCAAGACCCTAAACCCGAAACCCTAATTTCTTGCTTTGGGTAAAAAGCACAAGAAAACCACTCCGCCATGGCCAACGATTACGAGCCACGCTGTCCCAAAATCGGTTACTACAGCAGAATAGCGCCTGCTTCGTATCCGCGTTAGAAGCCATCGCGACACAAAGCTTTCTCGTTCCTCAAGCGAAAAACGCGGCGACCTTGATGCGCGCCGCGACGGCGAGCAGCTCGGGGAAGCTCAGCGGAATAAGCGGCGGCTTGAAGCCTTTCGGATACCGTTGATCACGGAGAAACGACTTGAGGTAGTCAATCGGAACCGCGTAAAAGCGCAGCCTTCCGCCGAACACCCCTGCGAGTGCCGCTGCTTCACCGAACGCCACGGCTTCGAAATTCGTGTCGTAATTGAGCTGGGGGTTGTTCTTATGGGAGGCGTAGAAGCGGTGCTTGCGGAAGCGGCCGATCTCGCGAAGAGTGATGTATTTTTTCGTGGAGGAGAACTTGAGCATTTGGTTGAACAGCGTAAGGTTAACTTCGTAGTTGTTACCGAGATACGCGTCGTCGCGGACCAACGAGACGTCGTGCTCGATCTTGTTGTGCGCGCGGAGCTGCACGAGGTCGATCGTCCCCGCCTTTTTATCCCCCACGCCTTTCGACATGGCGCCGTTGATCAGCGCGTTCGTCACGGTCGGGGAGAAGGAGTAGAACTTGCGGAAGGCGTTGACGATGCGCTTGCGCTTGATGGCGGAGCCGTCGCGCGGAAAGACGCCGTGGTTCGCCATGGTGTTGAAGGCCGGGCACGGGCCGCGGTTGTCCGTGGCGCCCGGCGCGATATAAGGGCCGAGCTTCAGCGCGGCGGCGGCTGATGGGACGAGCAGCGCGAATGCTGCTATGAGGGTCGCGAGGGCGAGAGAGCAGGTGAGAACGAGACGTTCTTGCCTGGAAGGGCGGCTCTTGCGAGAGAAATGGAGAAATTTGGGAGACATGGCGCTACAGAGCACGTTCGATTATTGAACGTGTACTTATTCTGCTTGATTATTCTCGGTAATCCGAGTTATCTGGCAATAGGACTTTGCTGTCGCTTGCTGCGTGGTAATCTGCTGGTGTAAGTTAGAAATGCAGGGGGCTTGTGTGCAAGAAGAGGAAATGGAGCAATCCTTTATTCGTTTAGGTGGATAATGGGAGTAGGGCAGATGCGACGAGTGCTGTTTTGAGATGAGGAGGACGTTGTGACTGCGCCTGGGGATAAGGGGGGGAGGAGGAAGGCGCAATTTCGAGAAGCAGCAAAACGAGGAACGAGGGGAGGCCCGGAAGAAACGAGGCTTGAAGCGGCTTACAGATAGTTTGAAACTGGTTGGGTTCGGTAAATGTGCCACCGCTCTACGCCAGGCTTTGAAGTGCGGTGAAGAGTGGGTTGGGGAGTTTGGGGGGAACGGACAGCACTGCAGCTGGCGCGGAACGTGATTGGGAGGAAGAGGCACGGGGAAGGTTTTCCTGCTGCAATCCATGCCCTGGGGCGCAGCACACCATCACCTCGTTCTGCCGCCCCCGGCATGTTGATTTCCCTTGTTCCCCCGTGTTCGTTTTCGTCGCATGGAGCCGACACGACGACCACATCACACTCCGACCACGCGCAGGAAACCCGTCGACTCGGGTTGCGTTGCGACGTGTCAGATTGACGGCTGGGCTCCTGGACACGTGGTTGGATCTTCTGTGCGCGTCGCTCGCTTCGAGCCTGGATTAGCTGCTGAGCTCAGGCCCAGCCTAGGTCCGAAGTTCCAAACCAGTTTCATAACGGGGTCAGCTTGGGAATCTTCAGTGAACGTTTGACTGTCTCGAAGCTTCGTTTCACGCGATCGCCAACTTCTTTCCGCCCACGATGTCGGCGTTCACCGAAAGGCTATGAGAAGTGTACACTGTTGCACACTGTCGGTGTGCCATCTAAATACTGCGGCATTGACTGATCCGTTGTGCGGTTGTCGAACCCTACACAATGTCGCGAACAAATTATCCCACCTTGACACAATTGCACGGGATGGAGCTCTGAAATGTGGCGTGGCATACCCAGCCAACTCATCACGATTGCATAGAGGCTTATCTGGCACACGTAGGGACACGTCATCGATGACAAGATTCTTTCACAGCACACTGAGGGTGTCGCCTCCATCTGGCAGGAATGTCTGGTCCGTTCAATTCTCACAAGCTTGGGAACGCGGCGCCGATAAATGTGGAGGTATACCCCGCACATCCATAACACACGGTAAAGTCTAGGAGTGAAAGACAGCCGTCGATTAGAACGATCGTAAACACTCGTGGCTCCTCGTGGTGCCGATGCGATCAAGTGGTGTGAATTTCCTACGAAACTTTTTAAAATGCGGGTCGGAGGGAAACTCATATGTGGATCAGTCACAGCCGTCGAATTCATGTGCATCGTATCGAACGGCTAATTATAGCACTGAGCCGATCTTTCTCATTCGCACTGCCCACTCACTCCTTTCCCAGAGTGCATGCAGTCTGAAAAGCGTTTTCTGGTCAGGTTTCAGTCGAGTGGTTGGTAGAGGCTGGGCCAGCGGACACGGAGGCAGGGCCCCAGGTGACGTTGGCAACAGGCCATAGCTGAGTCATCGCATCACCAGCATCTCCCATCTGACCCACCCGTTTGAACGTCAAAACAGAACCAGAGAAACCCCGCCTGCACGAGTTGGGAAGCCCGAGGGAGTTGTTGTGGAGAGCCGAACCAAACCAACTCCAAGAGTCCGTTAGAATCGCTCTGGTCACTCTAGTTTCGTCAAACCACGTTAGTGTTAATAAATCGCATTGTTGGCTGATCGCGCTTCCTCGTGTTAAAGCCAGGATCTCAAGTAAGAGAATTGGCCTTCAATTGCAAAACACTTGCAGCGCTTGTTACCCTATTTTTGTAGGCGAATTGACTGGCTGGTTAGGAAAGTGAGCGTGCGGCACACCCACCAACTGCAAAACAATTGAACTACTTGAGATCCTGGCTTTAAATTGGTTTTCTTAGGAGCAAATTACATCGTGTCGATCGTGGTAGATTACCGAGTTCGCAATTGAGGGTGATTACCCTTTCTTCGTGTTGATCGTATCTCGTATCTGATAACCTAGGCTATTCCTGCTGTCGAGGCTGTTGTCACATTAAGTCTTTCGTAGAATAGCCCTCTAGTTTCGTGAATCTGTTTGCTGAAATGGAAAGAGTTTTCTCAGTAGACGATATATTAGGAACATTCTGGAAGGTAGAGTCGTCAGGCGATGTCGCCGCTGCTGCAGCCGCTGCCGCTGCCGCCGCTGCCGCCTCTGGCGGGCTTCTCCCTCCAGGGGCGTCCGCCTTTCCCGGCGGATATTCCGGCGGAATGTCCGGCGGTTTGGGTAGTAGCGAGCTCCAGCGTCCAATCCCACGCACGGGCTCTTTCCATCGTATGAACAGAATATCCTCGGAATGGGCGTTTCAGGAGTTTATAAAGGAGCAGACTGCAGCGGGGACAGTGACAGGGTTCAGCGGAGTCAGCCCTCTAATGGCCGGCCTTAGCCACGTTCCGAGCCTAGATAAGCTCTTAGGGGAGAGCCCGTCTCGGCTTAACCTAAGTATGTTTGGCCGGCCGGGGGCAGAAGCTGACGCGGGAATCTCCGCTTCCGCCGCCGCCGCTGCCGCCGCCGCAGGAGGCGCTGCGGCCGACGGGCTCGGCGCAATGGGGGGCAGCAGGCATAGTCGCTTAGACCTGGCGGGGGGCGATCCGCGGCTGGGGTTATCCGCGCCGAGGCGGGCAGCGGGGGAAGAAGCGGAGGCGGGGCGAGGCGGAACAAATGCCGGGACGGCGGGGGATGGCGGAAGTTTCGGCGGGCTCGGAGTGTTCCGCTCCCCGTCTAGCAAGGGATTGGCGTCAGGCGCGTTAGGCGCGGCAGCGGATGCGGCAGCGGCAACGGCAGCAGCAGCGGCAACGGCAGCGGCAGCGGCAGCAGAGCAGGTATGAACGACCTGGAACAGTGCCCCATATCTTAGGGGTTTAGATGTCGCAGATCCGGTTACCCACACCCTCTTTTTCCCGTTTCGTTGCTGCCACTGATCTTCTCCGCCAATTCCTGTGGCCCTTCGCTCCTACCTTTTTCAAGCCCGTTGTTGCGTTCACGCAATGACTCCTCCCCTCTCCCCCCCTCCTCTCATTTCTCCTGTCGCCCCCCTTCCGCTCCTGTTCCCTCCCTTCGCATTGAGACCAAAACCATTTCCCCCTCTGCCCTACCCCTTACCCCACCCCCACCCCACCCCTCCCCTTCTCTCCCCTCTCCCTCCCCGTACCCCTCCCCCTTATCCCCTGCGCCCTCCGCCCGCCGCCCCTCAGGCGCCTACCGCGGACGCAGCAGCTGCCATGACCGGCGCCTCCGGCGCAAGTGCCGCAGCCGCAGCCGTAGCCAATGGCGTGGCGACAAATGGCACTGCCGCGTCGGCGAACGGCGCGCCTCTCTCTCCGCCTCCCCCGCCGTCCGTGGTCCACCCTACCCCCGAGGAAATGGGCCGCCTGTGCGCGCCCCCTGGCGCGGCGGAAGCCGCCAGCCCGACCTCTGGCAGGGGAGAGAGGGGGGGGGGCGGCGGAAAGGGTGGGGGAAAGAGGGGTCTGGGGGGAGCATCGAGCGGGCGGGGGGGAGGGGGAGGGGGAACGAGGGCGGGCCCGCATGGGGGAGGGGGAAGGGAGATTGGGGTTGGGTCGGATGAGAATCATTCTGATGATGGGGGGAGGTCGGAAGGGGAGGATGAGCTGGTAGCGTCGTTGGAGCATCTGACTGATCCGGAGGAAATCAAACGAGTCAAGAGGTAAGAATATTGTTGAGTTGAGCTGATCTGAAATCAAAATTAGCATATATACATACCAAAGGCTGGAATATTATCAATATATCAGTGCACTACCACCCATCGGTTCATGCAGGATGTAAATTAGCTTATCTCGCCTGTATTGCATGCCACGTCATTGTGTCCCTTCCGGCCCCACCTCTGACCACGTGGCAGGATGCTGTCCAATCGCGAGTCAGCCCGGCGGTCGCGGCGGCGAAAGCAGGCGCACATGGGGGAGATGGAGACGCAGGTGACTCAGCTGCAGATCGAAAACGCCAACCTGGCCAGCCGCCTTGGGGAGATCGGACGCAAATACAGCGACGCTGCTGTCGACAACCGCGTGTTAAAATCCGATGTGGAGGCGCTACGAGCTAAAGTGAAAATGGCTGAGGAGATGCTTGGGCGGGTGAATCACATGGCGCAGTATATGTATCACCATCACCACCAGCCTATGGCTTATCGGCATGATCCTGCTGCTGCCGCTGCTGCTGCTGCTGCGGCGGCGGCTGGTTCGATTCCGTACGGCCCGTCTGCTGCTGAGATCGCTTACTATCAGCACCACGCGCATAACTCCTCGGCTGCAGCAGCGGCAGCAGCTGCGGCGGCGGCAGCAGCTGCGGCAGCGGCAAGTGCTGGTGCCACTGCTGCCGCTGCTGCTGCGGCTGGGGAAGCAGCCGGTTCTGCTCCTGCTACTGGTGCTGGGACTGCTGCAGCAGCAGCAGGAGGAGCCTCAGGAGCAGCGCACTCTCATGCGTCTTTTCAGTCTCTCCAGTCGTATGCCTCCCATCACCATGCGGCTGCTCTTTCAGCAGCGGCAGCACACCATGGGGCGTATTCACTCGAGGCTCTGCGTGCAGGGGGTATGCACCTCCCTTGTCCGGGTATTTCCCCTCATAATTATGCTGCTGCTGCAGCAGCTGCAGCAGCAGCAGCCGCAGCAGCAGGAGGAGGGCTGCACCCGAGCCTGGCTGCCATGCCTGGGATGCGTGGGGTGGGAGGAGGAATGGCCGGACTTGGGGCAGGTTCAGCCATGGCAGACCATGCAGCCGCTGCTGCAGCTGCTGCTGCGGAAGGGGGAGAGGGGGGAACGGCAGGAGGTATGGGAGGAGAGGAGGCTGGGGGGCGGCATTATAGAATGGAGAGGAGTGCAAGCATGGAGAGGGCAGCAAGTGAAGAACATGCACAGAAGAGGTTCAAAGCAGCAGAGTAATTGTTTCCCATTTCACTAAATATGGAAATGTTTTTCAGTGTGAGCTTTATTGCATATGGGAGCTTTTCAGCCGCAAAATCGTGGCTGTTAACATGCATTTTTGTGTTACCAGTGTTGTCTTACATACTATTTTGACTTGCTGAAAGGTGGTCGTAAAGTTCACCCTAAACCATAGAGTGTCATAGAACAGACCTACGGTTCAGCCTTGCAGTCAGGAGGGAAAACTGTTATGAATGAACATGCAGAGTGCGCAGAATAACGAATAACAAGAATGGTTGAATATGCTGAATGACGATACAAGGAAAGTAGCGAGCCTAAATAGGGGAAATCCTAGCTAGGCGAAGAGGTCGGGCGAGGATGGCTCGTGAAAGGTCGCGATTGGTGCGGAGGCGAAATAGGCCGAACGTGAGATTCACTTGACCCTTGGGGTTGTACTCGCCAACAAGTTCTGCAGCAAGGATTTGTGTATCCTTACAAAAACTATGTTCGTGCACACATGTATCTCAACTAAGTGAGAAATGGATGATTATTAAAAGAACCTCTAAAAGAATTCACTATGTTCGTGCACACATGTATCTCAACTATTCACACTGGGTGCGAAGAATCCTCACTACTCCTTGAGAATTGGCAGCAGCAAGCAGGTCACTGTCTGAGCGCTGCTGCCAACCAACAGCGCTCACAAAAACGTTTCCCCCACCACCGCCGCTTCTGCTTCCGCTTCCCCTCATCTCTCCCCCGCTGCTGCTCTCTCTCCCGGACATTCCCAAAGTAGGGGTTCTAGACCGTCCCTTACTGTCAGAACTCCCGTGGTTCCCGGGCGGCTTAGCGAAGCCAAAGTCAAACTTCAAGGCGCAACTGCACCGGGATTTGGAGTCCACGTGGTAAATCACCAGCTCGTTGCTCTCAGAGCCTGTTGCGATAAGCCCGGCTCCCGAACCACCCGCCGAACCTGACGTCCCCTTGCCGCACCTGGTGGTACCGCCGCGGCAGAAGCTTGAACCGCCGTCTAGCTCTCTGACGGATAACCCGACGAAGTTCCGCACGTTAAGATGGTCGTCGCAGCTCGCACGCAGGTGATTAGAGACTCCTGGGACTGGAAGATTAGAACGATCGCTGGTCGCACTACCACTAGCAGCTTTAGGTATCCGGCTGGGGGAGCTGGTCAATGCAGAAACGCTGTTGCTGGGATTCGAACCCGTGACGTCCCACAGCTTGACGGTAGAATCGACGGATGAGGAAACCAGGGAGCCCGGGCCCATGAATCGCACGAAGCTCACGGTTCGTTGGTGCCCTGCGAGCGAAAGAAGCGGCTCCTGGAGATTCCGAAGGTCGTACAAGTACACTTTCGAATCGGCTCCGGCCAATGCGAGAAGATTCTCGCCACCCTTAGCTGGACCGAATTTCGCACTGCAGATTGCACGCTTGCCGGAAGCCAATCGGATCATCCCCACGCTGTCTTCCGAGTCTGCCGACCAGAGGCATACTGCCCCGTTGTTCGATGCCGTAACGGACATCGGCTTGCCGTTGGACCCCATCCAATGCGAGTAATCGACGGACCAGATGCGCTGTCCCTCGTGCTCCTCCCTCTCTATCACGCAGAGCCCCTTCTCGATGTCCCACTCCGCAAAGACCCCGTCATAGTCACCCGCGCCTATAATGCCATTAGATCCGGGGACCCACATCACGGAACTTAATTTCGCAGCGCAGCATAGGATCTTGGACGCTGATTGGTCCGTGTCGAGTACGCACGCCTCCTCCTCGTCTGCATCGTCTCTGTCCGAAGCTTCGGCGTACCGTCGAAGATCGCTCGTCGACGCAGCGCGTCGCTTTCCTCGTCGCGAACCCGCGCGAGATAATCCGTAGTTGCAAAACTCCGCGTCGCCCGCCGAATCCGCCATTGCTGGTCCGATCTCACAGCTCCGTCGTCCCCATCTTTCCCGCCATCCCTCCAGCTTCCGTTCCTTGAGCGAACGGAGCGACGATAGCGAATACACGCGAATCTTTCGTGAAATGCCACCAGTGGCAAAATAGTTACCCGAATCATCGAAATCGATGGAGCCAATCACGTCAGAGCATCCCCAGAGGCGGCCCCTCGTGCACTGAAGAGTCAGATCAACGACTAGCCGCCATGATTGACAATCCGCGCCGCTTTCCGCTGCATCGTCACAATCATCTTCTTCATCAACATCATCATCGTCAACGTAGAATGAGAATGGGCCGTTACTGTTTGCAACCGCTTCATCCGCTTCCTCCGTTTCCTCGTCGGGAGAACCTGCTTCAAACCGCCACGTCTGGCGCTGTCCGAAGCTGCAAAAGCTGTAATCAGGTTCGCTGTTAATCGCGGAAGAGACGACGAGAACTGGCGAAGTGGCGTCAGGCTGCTGTTTCAGTAGAGGCGATAAGGACGGCTGCGACGCTAGGTAGTCTTCGTCGATGGAAGGAACGGATCGGTCGCCAGCTAACCCCGCTACAAGCGGCCTTGATAGAAGCAACGAAGCCCCCAGCACGGCCGCTGAATCAACACGGTCTTCGGCCGGCCCTAATCTAAATTTCTTGGAAGGAATCACGCAGCCTTCGGGGGAAAACAGATCCGCGGCTTCTTCGACATTTCCAGATAAGGTTTGAGAAGGCAGCGTCACGTGATCCACTGATAGCATCGATAGCATCGCGCCGTCACCTCCTTCTGGGGCTCGGACCTGCGGTACGATCTGTTGCGCGGCCGCGGGTGGGCCAGGCGGCCGCTGAGATGCTGACGTGTCGAGCGTCGCGAAAGAGCGCGAGGAGCGGAAGGAATGGTCGATGAACATGGTGGTATGTGGGTCTATTCTAGCCGTCTCGTCGAGGCACACTGCTCCTGCTCGCTTGTTCGAGCTTCGTGCTGCAATGGCTGTGAACATCGTGAAGATGTTGGTAGAATCAAAGACAATCTTCGAGGATGAAGCAACAAAAATTTGACTGACTAGCTGTTATGGAATGTGGGCTACTACTGCCACGAGGAACGACGGTTGAACAGACTAATTCCGACTGATGTTCCCAAGGCTATGGAAATGGCAAGGGTTTGTAGGAGAGGAGGAGAGGACTCGTCGTGGCTGTCTAGGCCGCCGCATGTCTCTCAGATTCACACATCAGGTAGCGTCTGCACTTGTGTGGCTTGGCTTTGCTGGTGGAGGGGTTGAGTGGAATGGTTTTGTTGACTCATTGGCTTTCCATGCCTCCCTCCAAGTCCTCAACTCTGTTGTGGTTCGCTGTAATCTCGCCACGTCGACTCCCCGTGGTCACTTGTCTCCCCGTGGTTTTAACCTTCCACTTAGCAAAAAGCCTTTTTGAAATGTTTTCTTTCTCAGTCTCGGGAAAGGGAAGGGAAGCGAAGACAGGCTGGAAAATCTTAGTACCCGACAAAGGCACAGTGAATGCTCTAGAAGGAAAAGATCTGGGATTTCTGGTGACAACCAATGAAAGATATGAAAAAGATGGCTCTGCGACGTGGAAAGATGGCAACGGCAGGAATGCGCTGGTACAGGTCGCGATTGATGAATCGATTGCAGGCAAGCTGCCGATTTGGCAAATTTGCTTTCCATACACCATCAAAGTACAAGACTACAACACATTATCAATAGGCGCATCACACTCGTTTTTAAAACAATGAAACGATTCCGCGCCTTTTGTCACTGGCACCTTTCGCCACAGGACAACTTATGACGAACTACAAAATAGGGGGGTAATCTCAAACCTCGTGACGAAAGCATGGGCGACAGCCTCTGTTCTGTTCAGAATTGTTGCATCTGGTGGGTCGTCCTTCGCGCTAAGTAGTAAATGCACTCCTGTTAAGGTATTGATTCATGTTGAGATAAAATGCAGCTGTGTATTAAGTGTATTGTGACAGCCTCAGCCCTCTAGATCCCCCCTTTGTCCTACAGATGCCAAAAGAACTGTACCGTGAGCAATGCTGAAGCTCAAGACTTGTCCCAAAATGTTGTGCATGCGCGGTCGTCGGTTGGGAGGGTGTTTAGTCTTCGAACTGTAAAGAACCACCCTCGACACACTTTGTTCAAGTGTATAGGCTGTTTGAACTTTCAGAAAACCTCTGCTAAAACATATATCCACTACCACAACATGGGGGTGAATCAAAGATCCAAAACCCATTTCATGGGGGTGAATGTAAATCTGAAGTGAAGTACTTGGAGATCGGCTGGGTGATCCACAGAAACGCAGAAAATTTCCACGAATGATATTGCAGCGACAAATTGCAGTCGTATCCATCTGCCTGACATCGAAGAAGTGTCATCATTCATCGGTGTTGTATGCACGTATCATCGCTCAGCTTTTCATTGAGAATCTGTACAGTCTCCATCGCTTCTGTGAAGTCGTCGTTCTACATGCTGAGCAAAGCAGTGTGTGGCATACAGATATGTGCTCTCATATGTAAAAGGCTCCTAACTGCTTTTTTTTTTTTAAGTTCAACTTATCTGTTAGTGAGCCAGTTGACAGGCTATTCAGGCTTTTATCAGATTCATAAATATAACTATACAGATAAATAAGGAAATGCTGTGGGCCCTAGCGAGCCATACCTACAAAAATATATAGTGATAATATGGACATTGTACAATGATGCACATTGCGTGATGAATGCTCCTTCGTACAGCGACCGTTATTTATTCTCATGTATCCGCTTGGCGTGCTGCAATTTGTAAAAATTTATAGAGCTGATGCCGTGTGAGATCGCTCGGTTGTGATTATGAACTAGTATCAACCTGGCAAGTATATGAGTGACTAATTTATATTGTTAGAATCACTCTGAAAGAATGATTGGATTAGAAAGAGTTGGGGTACAAGTACTAACCCTAGAAGTGCTGAACCCCATCAGGAGTGCCCCACTATAGCCTACAAGTAAGATTGTACTTTGACACCCCCATAGGCTAAGTGGGGGACAACAAGACGGTCACAAGACCAGTCAAGCAAGACAACAGAGCAGAGCAAAGCAAAGCTCGGGGTGGATCTCA